TGAATTAGGATGTCCCCTGGAAAATGGAAAGGGCAAAATAAATGTGAATCATCTTAATTATCACAGTTGCTTTGTGTTCCTTGTTCTCGCTCCTAGTCATGGAAGTCCCCAGTCCAGCAGTTCCATTTGCTTTTCTCCTATTAAAAGAGAGCTAGAAGGGCCAGCCAAATAGCTCAGCAGATTAAATAGCCTGCAAGCAGGCGCAGGGACTGGGTGTTCCATCTCTGGGTCTGCCAGCCCCACCCCCAGGGCGTGCTGAGACTGTGATTGGGACTGGGCTTGGAGGAGTGCACCTGTATTTGCAGCACATGGGAGGATGTAAACAGGAGAATCACTATGAATCCAATGTAGTAGTGAGACCCTGAACACCCTGTAGACCCTTCCCTAAAGATACAACAAAAGATAATGAGAGAGAGAGAGAGAGAGAGAGAGAGAGAGAGAGAGAGAGCTAGAACATTAGGAGAATTTAGTGATTTAGTGTGGGAACTGGTTGAAAGGAATCAGGAAACCATTAAAACAATGCCCATATCCAGGAAGGGGGAGGTGGTGCTTTGCAGTAGTGTGGCAAGCATGTGTGGGGTGGAGAGAGGTGGTCTGAGGCTCAGTATAGTTGGAGGAAGTGTTGGAATTCCTATAATAGAGATGAGAAAGAAAAGATATGTCCAAGGTGACACTGAAGTGTAATCGTGAGCAAAATAAAGAGATGAAAGGAGAAGACTATTATGAAAAATGCAAAAGCAGCACTGTGTTGTCTTCACATTTATTTTGTTTCTCTTGATTAGCTCTACACTGCCTTTCCACGGATAATGAAATACCTTCCTGGACCTCATCGCACTCTGTTCAGAGACTGGGACAAACTAAAATTGTTTGTTGCTCAAGTGATTGAAAACCACAAGAAAGACTGGAATCCTGATGAGATGAGAGACTTTATTGATGCTTACCTCAAGGAAATGGTATGAATGAGAAAAACAAAGTTATTTTCTGTGCATTTTTTTAGAGAACATATATCAGTATGCTAGTTTCAAATTGCAGTTATGATAAGTGTCTGCAAAGTCAGGAATAAAATAACACAGTACTCTGTTACATTTCAACATGACAAAAATCTAAGATCGGGGGAAAGTCAAGGTGTTGGCCAGTCCAACTTCTTTTAGAGTTTTGAAGAATCCACTTCCATGACTCTTCCACCTTGTAGATGCCAACTGCATTCCTGTCTTGTTGTGCCCTTCTTGATCTTCAGTACCATGAGTGTTGCATCTTCTCTGCTCTTTGATCTTTACTTTCATCTGTACACCTTCTCTCTTAGTTTGACACTCTTGTCTCTTTCTTATAAGCATTTTTAGGATAATCATTCTACCTCAGAATTCTTAATCACATATGCAAAGTCCTCTTTAGCATATAGGTTAACACACAAAAGATTGAGATAAGGACACCCTTGCAGATCATTATTCAGCGCATCATGGGGAGTGAAAAATAGAGGCAGTATATGATGTGTAGGTTATTATTAACTCAAGAATGCTGGGACAATCAGAAATAAAAATAAGTGTCTGATGACACTTGGTTTAAGGCCTTGAGGCTGTCCAAATATACTACCTTTTCATCCCTCATTCCAGTGGTGGCAAACGTAGCTGTGCGTGCTGTAGCAGATCGTTTGCTATCACTTAAAGCTCTAAAAGGTTACCAGCACTGCAGTTCTCTTTCCCTATCCATATTGGGAAGGGTTGCACACAAATAGCAAGTAAGCTTCAGAAATTCATTTTCTGATTGCTCAGGACTGAGCCCAGCTAACTTCATCTTCTCTCAGCTGTCCCCACCCCCACTCCAATCAGTACAAAGCTACACCTGAATTGGATTCCAGAATTTAATGTAAAGGTCTGAACGAGAATTCTCACCTTTTTTTTT